GCAGGCGAGCGGCTTGGAGAAAAGGTTGCCACATGTTCATTGTCTCCTGGTCTGCTTGCCCCAACTGCCGCAGCTCATTTGTCTGCCACAGCAGGCAAGCTCGGCAGTCTGGTGGACACTTTTTTTCTGCCACGTGGCTTTGGAGCCTCAAGCACAGGCGCTTCGAATGAAACAGTGCTTGCAGACAGCTGTTCATGTAGCACGTGTTGCCCACGTTCGACAGTCCCGCTCCTTCCACGCACACCTCCTCCCCGCATTTCGACTGCTTCCTTTTCACCTTCCTGCCCACTTCCCCTCGCTGTGGCAAAGCATACCGAATGCGAGCCCACCCAATGCAACCCAACTTCTTCTGGAAGACCACTGGCTCACTCAAAGTCTGCACCTGCGCAAGCCACAACGCGTACGTGCGCCTATAAGGCAGGCGTTCCTCTTGAATCTGGTGTTCTCCTCACAGCCCGTGGAACTCCTCCAAATTCACCTCCACACACTGCCTAATCACTGCGCTGCCATACACTTTCTTCCCGTGCGCTAGCCATACATGGCCCAGCTTTGCCTTGCGACCTCGCACCTCCACTGTTTTGTCGCCCGACAAGATCAGCTTCAACCACTCCTCCCTCAGTATCATGGCACGTTCCCCTTCAAGCGGCGCCCGTTCAGCCCCGCCGCCCCCACCACACCTACCTGGGCCTCGCGCACTCCTTTGCCCTGTCTGCGCATGCCCCCACACCACCGCCCCCATGGCCACACCCCTAGCAAGCACCCGCCACACCGACGCAAGGAGCTGCAACCAGCCCATCCCTGTTGGTAGGAGCAATACGACCACGCCCACCACGCACAGCATGCCCCCCCTCCCACACAGCAGCCCCGCACGTCCTCCCCGCTGCCTCTGCGCATACTTTCTGCCTTGTACCTTCACTCCCTTCTTTTGCGGCGGGCGCTGGCGTCCACCGAGGCCACACAGAACGCCGATCGCAAATGCCACCCACCACCACACCGCCATGTTCGTCGTCCGGGCCCCGTCTGTCTCCTGGTCTCCCACCCTGTGCTGTTTTGGTTTGTGTATATATATATTCTTTCAGCATATATTCGGTAACAACTCTAGTTTATACTATACTAAACCTCCTGGTCCTGCTTCTCGTGTTTCCGTCAGCACTGGCTTTACTTCTACCATGTCGGCTATGTCCTGCACAACCTCTCTTCGAGCCAACACTTCCTATCGCTGCTCCCTGCTCCGCATCAGTCCTGGGTCCGTACAACGGTCTCCAACCATGTGCTGCAGTATTGCCACCCCCCCGCACGCCTGCTCGAAGTCCACTCCCACATCGACACCTCAGTTGTGCACCGCTGGAGCCTCTGCCTGTATGGGCCCACTTGTACCCAGAAGCTGTTGACTGGCCCGTTCTGGACCTCTGGGACGTTTTGAATCCCATCTTAGGTTTTTCGTTTCTTTATACCATCTTCGGGGATCCTTCCATCACCACCGGCGCACTCCAAGCTTTCGACCTCCGCGTCTGTAACGGGCTCCGCTTCCACGTCCGGTTCCAGCACATTCCGGCCTCATGTTGCGGCGGCGTCCACGCGGTTTTGCTTGCTTGGTTGTAGGTTGCTGGCGGGTTTCTTGGTTTGGCCGCGTTGTTGTAGTTGGTTGCCACTGTGTTGGTGGATGCATGGATGCATGGATGCATGGGTACATGGACGCATGGAAGGATGGATGGATGGATGGATGGATGGATGGGTGGATGGATGGATGGGAGGGAGGGAGGGAGGGATGAGTGGATGGATGGATGCTGTGTCACTGGGGAGGGCGCAACGCCTCCCCCGCAATGCAGACCAATCCTCCCCCGCCAAGGACTGGGCAATGCACAGAGTTATGATGAGATATTATGTTGTTTGGTTGCTTGGTTCGTTGGTTGCTTGTTTGGTTTCTTTGCTTGGCCGCGTTGTTTCTTCGTTGGTTGGTCGGTTGGTGGGCACTCCGTTGGTGGATGGATGCATGGATGGATGCTGGGCTGCCTCGCGTCCCGGCGCAGTTTCCGCCGGTTCGCGTCGTTCCGGATAGTCCCTGCGCAGTTTCCGGAGGGTTCTGAAGGGTTGGTCCCAAGAAGTTTTGGAGGTGACAACTACGGGCTTTGCGGCTGCACATACGCGGCGTGAAACTAACCGGAGGTGACATCGTTCTCTGCGCAGGTTCCAGGGGTTACCTGCTTCGCCGGCGGGGGGTTGAAAAGAAAGGGTCGAGGGTGAAAAAGAAAGGGTAAAGGGTGAAAAAAACAAGGTGAAGGGTGAAAGAAACATGCTACAGGGTGAAAATGGCAGGGTGCAGGGTGAAAAACAGGTTTTCGAAGGGTGAAAAAAAAGGTTCCACAGGGTGGGGAAAAAATGATTTTTGAGGGTGAAAAAAGAAGGTTTCGAGGGTGGGAAAAAAAAGGGAGGGTGAAAAAAACATTGTTGAAGGGTGAAAAAAAAAGGGAGCCCATATATGTATATCTATATATATAGAGGTACAGGTGTGAATCGGGAGCTCGCTTGATCGAAACCGCGCGTATCGAGAAGTGCACCAAGTTCCGTGGAATATCACGGATCAAGTCGGGGCATGAGGACCCTGCGGTGTGCGGTCAAAAGATGACTGCGGTGGTAGCGGAGCAATAAGCTCCAGGTAGTTCGTGAAGTGAGCCATGGATGATGGACGAGCCCATATCCAGTTCCACGGGAGTGAGGAGGCGGACACGTTTCCAGCCCCGATGGGGCCCCATAGACCTCGAACGAAGTGGGACCCCAACGCCAGGCGGCGATGTTGGATTTGAAGATTTTGACAGTGATGAGTTTCGTTTCGCCTTCCATACCTTCTCAAGCGCTGGGCGAAGGACATCGGCTGGCTTCAAGATGAACAAGGAGGACATCGGTCGCTGACCGCGATGGACCAGCCAGAGAAGATGGGGACGACAAGGAAGGACTTGCTGAGCTCCTTGGCCAAAATCACATATCGCATTCGCCAAGAGCGAAATGAAGAGAGGCACTTCGACGCTTGGAGACCCACAAAAATCAGTTGCCGGATTCCTAGGATTCCTCCTGATCAACGCATTGAACATGAGCGAACAGGACATCAAGAACACGATGAATTCACCCGGAGAAGCATTGTGACCCGGGATGTCAAGGAGTGGGTCCGGAAGCGCGAGGCCAAGTTGGTGGCCAAAGAGGTTGAGATTTAAGCCAACAAGATCAAAAGGACCTCAACGGCATCTGCTCACCATACGACGGTCGATGAAAACCTTGACTACACCGACAAGACGGAGATCTTGGAGGAGGCAGTGTTGGAAGAGTTGGGCGGCGAGGGTGAGAACGTCTTGCAGATGGAGAACCAGAAGGCTCTGGGTGAACGTGAAGTTCGTGAGGTCATCAATGAAGCTTCAAAAGCACGTTCAGTCAGAGCATGAAGCTGAAGAAGGCCAAGGAATTAGCACAGGGCTTGGGTGGGTGGAAAGGCTCCAGGCTCCTGAAAGGACAATGCCAAACAACAAAAGAGCAAGTTGATCAACCAGCTGAAGCAAAACAGCCGGTGCGCCATATAGGAGAAAGTGGGACATTGGCATCCCCTCAAGGGAGAATTGCACCAGGAGAACTACTACATGGTCCTCACAAGGATGGAAGGACAGGATGCGAAGGACTTCAACGACTTGAAGCTGTTCGACCTGGCCGACCCTGAAGAGTATGAGGGCCGTGAGATCTCGAGAAGCTATGAACAAACCATGGAGGCAAATGCCTGGAACTTCAGACCTAAAGCCCTGAAAGAGAATCCACGAAAGAAAAGGAGAGGGCATCATCAGGGTAGCAACAGACGACCTGTTGGATGGAGGACGACCGAAGCGCTGGAAACAGATGGCTTCGAGACAATCACATTACAAGTTGGCCAAATTCACCCACCTTGATGGTCGCTTCGTTGGAAAAGAAATTTCCTGTCTTCCCAACGGCAACTTTAGCGCGGTTGGCCAGGCCAGGAACGCCGACCAGCATGAATGTGGAGAGTCTGCATCCTTCAATAGCCCATGCCACACCCATACGTCCGTGACTTCATGCCCTGCCTGGACTCGGAACAGCACAGTGAAGACTTTTGGGAAGAGCGAGGGGACCTTATGCACAACCTCGACATATCATGTTTCATCCAGGAGCTGCATGTGGAGGACCACAATTGCACGGCCTCGAAGCCGAACGGGCAACATGGATTGACGGTGAGCTCTTTGAGGACAAGATTTTCGCCGACACGGTGACTTGGCTTGGAAAGGACACGCAGCGTTCATGACAGATTTCTTCAAGTTGGGAGGACACACACAGTCAAGGAGGACATATCGTTTTCACCTACAACAAGGACTTAGAGGTTGAACAAACACCTCGGAAGAGCTACAAGCTCAAAAGATGCGCGGTTAATACTTTGGCAGCAGAAGCTGGCTCAGGCGATGATTCAAGGAGTTGGTGCATCTTATTGGTTGAGATTCATGTGGGCCGAAACCAAAGGCACAATTGGCAACAACAAGTCAGCAAGACACCTTTTGTTGCTGCCACGGACTCACGAGCATTGTTTGACAACTTGAGCAAGTCTACGAATGTGGCGGCCCATATCGACGACAAAAGGACGGCAGTAGATCTGATGGTCTTGCAGACTAAGGACAGTTGCGGTGGGTCTCGGGAAACATCATGATCTCGGGCTCTCTTACTACTAAAAAGGGGCCTGCTAAATTTCTCAGGGAAATCATGAAAAAGTCCTGTTGGACCTTGTTGGGACTTGGAGCAAAGATACTCCAAAGAGGTTTCGGCCAAAAGAAAAGCAGAGCGATGTGAATCGGGAGCTCGCTTGGTCGAAACCGCACATATCGCAAGTTCCGTGGAATATCACGGGTCAAGTCGGGCCATGAGGACCCTCTGCAGTGTGCGGTCAAAAGATGACTGCGGCTGTGCTATCCACAACAGTATGTATATATATATACCCGGCTGGAGCTTACCCGCGCCTGTCTTGCAATGGAGTGAGAAAGCACAGCGCCCAGCCTGCAATCTAGAGGCTTTTACAGGAACCTCGAAAATACTGCAGAAACAGCACAATGTGTCACTTATACACGCTCTTGGATTCTGCACTCAGATTCTGAAGGATTGAAATAGCACGCGTCAAGTCTTGAAGCCTGTGCTGGTTTAGCGTAGTTGCCGGGGTTACAGGGTTAATCCGAGGCATCTGCGCGGTAAAAACGGTAAAAATCGAAAATTTTCATTTTTACCGTTTTTACCGGGGGGGCACCCCGTTTTCTCTGCCATATCCGCGGTAAAACGTTAAAAATCGAGAAACAAAATTGTTTTTTCCCGTTTTCCCCGGGGGGGGCACCCCTTTTTAGTCTACCATATCCGCGGTAAAAGCGGTAAAAATCAAACATGTTCTTTTTTTTACCGTTTTTACCGGGGGGGGGCGCCCCTTTTTTCCTAGCATATCCGCGGTAAAAACGGTAAAAAATCAAACATTTTATGGTTTTATCGTTTTTACCGGGGGGGATCCTTTTTCTTCTACCATATCCGCGGCAAAAACGGTAAAAATCGAAAAAAAAAAATCATGTGTTTAACGTTTTTACCGGGGGGGGCGCTCCTTTTTCTTTTACCATATCCGCGGTAAAAACGGCAAAAATCAATTCTGTTTTACCGCTTTTACCGGGGGCGCTTTATTGAAAAACGGTAAAATTAATTGTTGTTCTTTTTGTACCGTTTTGATCGAGGGGGGGCAAACGGGTCTATGTTTCTTTTCAGTTTTTAACGGAGGGTCACCGCTGTTTCTTCTGCCATATCCACGGTAGGTAAAAATCGAAAGTTTTCGATCCAAGTGATGTAGGCTTTCATTGCCCTGCAAAAGTTAAAAGTCATGAAATGTTGATCAATCACCAAACTCCTCTTGTCGAAAAGGGCACACGCTCCTAAATGATAGGAGGAGTGAACCCCACCTGGTTATAGGAAGATACCCGGGCTGTAGCATTAAACCTTTTTGTTGACAGAGGTCTTCTAGCTTGCGACCTGGTCCCGAGGCATTCTCGCGGTAAAAAAAAAACGGTCCAAAGTGAAAATTACTACTTTTGTTGTTTACCTTTTTTAATGAAGAGTCGCTTGCTCTTTTTGCTTCTACCATATCGTTAAAAATCAAAGTTGTGTTATTCTCCGTTTTTGTAGGTGGACTTGTCTACCATCTCCGTGGCAAAAACGGTAAAAATCTTTGTTTTTAATCTTTTTTACTGGGGGGGCTCCATGTTTAAATTTCATATCCGCGGTAAAAACGGTAAAAAAAGATTCTTTTTACCGTGTTTGCCGGGGGGGCGCCCCTTTTTCTCTACCAAAAACGGTAAAATCGAAAATGTGCTTTTTTTACCGTTTTTACCGGGGGGGTGCTCCTTTTTCTTCTACCATATCCGCGGCAAAAACGGTAAAATCGAAAGTTTTATGTGTTTACCTTTTTCCTGCGGGGTCGCGAAAGGATACCCCTCAGCAAAACAACGCTCGCGAACCAGCTTAGATTGAAGCCGAAAAAGGTACCTTGTTCCGCAGCAAGGCACGAAGTCTTGGTGCTTCTGCGGCTAAAAGAGCCTTCAAGACAAACAAGTGACAGCTACCAAAATCCGCTAAGACAAGTCGAAACGTCGTGTTTCTGTCTTTCAAATCATAGCACACATCTTTGGAAAATATACTGCAAATGGCAAACTGCACTGTCTGAGAATTTAAGGCTCAAAACCAAGTAGCATCAGGGCGGCAACCATCCAACCTAGTCTTTGAGTCAAGAATGCATTCCATCCTCAATGCCTCTTCTAAGGATACAGGAAGGACAAGTCTCTGGTTGAAGCAAAGCCCTAAGTGCATGTGCACATATACTATATATATATATGTCTGCAAACATTGCACTATTCCATGCATGTGCTTCATACGCATTTGTACATTTGTCCAGGAATATATAGACATGTATTGTTCAGATATAGTTATTGTATATATGACTTTGAAAGCTTCAAGCAAGGACACTTCCGATCAAAGAGTATGTCGCAGTTGTTCAAATTCAGCAACAAAATCAGATTATATTTGGAACCTGCTTATATTTGTCTGGACCGAAAGAATGGTGACTCCTGAGTCCCGTGCGTATTGGTGTTCCTGGATTTGTTGCACTCAGAGCAGTGATGTGGAGTGCTTCCAAGGGTTCTTTTTTCACTCATTTGCGTGTTATGTTCACCTCTGTTCTTAGAGCTTGCTGGCTGCGGCAAAAAAAAACCTACTTCAGGACTTTGGTTTCGACTTCCTGTCCGGCTTCATTGGTGGTATTCGTCTGACTTGTCCTGTTTGGGTCTGGTGTGCTCTTGTTTCCGCTGCTTTGGCCATGGTGAATGGGCCTGATTCTTGTAGGTCTCACTTCGACCCGAACCTTAGTGAGTTTTGTTCTTCTATCCATGCTTTACCCCTTCCAGCGGTTGACTCAGTATAGAGGGCAACACTGAAGTGGACACCCTCATTTGTTAACGAATACCGAGCTCGAGGGCAGGCCAAATTGCACCAACAAAAAGAAAAGCTCAGCGACAAAATCATGCCAAATCAGCCACGAGGCAGGATCAAAAGAACATGAGGATTCCGGCTGGGCGGCACCGACATTCCAACATGGGTGACCAGCTGATGCTTGTTTGAAGTACAGTAGTGCATCAAGCCCTACATGTTGTCTACAAAGTCTGCATGTTGCATCCCAAAATCCTAAATTAATATACAGTGTGTATATATATATAACCTTTATGAGATTGTCCTGGAGAAATGATGAGAAATGGTTCAGCGGCTTCTTCGCATCGCACCTCTCTTGGTGTTGAGCTTCACAGCTTCAAAAGTACTTCATCACATCAACATGTCCAACCAAGGCATGGGTTGCAAAGACAGTCTGTGTGCCCGCACATGGCCACTGCCCCATTGTCACTGATCAGAACGGCCCTTGAGTCTCCGCAATTTGCAACATAAAGCTCGGAAGGCGTTCTACGGACGAGTGCCACAACCTCAGTGCACGTGTTTGCTGAAATTGGTCTGCTCCGTCCATGTATGGTTTAACAAAACTTTACCTTGAATGATTGATGCAAGCATATCAGCGGAAATCACTTGTGAGTCTTGAATCCTTTGCTGTCACATGGCCGTTGTTCTCTGCTTGCAGGTTTTGGGAACCACGCAGCTGTGGTGCCCATTCCCTGGGCAGTTACACCGTTGGCCTTGCGCTTGGCTTTGCGAAGAGCCACCCGTCCATCTGCACTCCACAAAAATTCGTCCTGCAGGCACTGGCAAAATTGCCAAATGTCTGTGGCAAATCTTCTGAATCCTCGGAATTTTGTCAAATTCGTCTATGCACCATAGCACATCCTGCTCCAGAAAAGCCTTCTTGAGCGCGTCCTGCAGAGGACATATTTTCGAGGAGGGCCTTCACAGAACCACGTCTATATTCCATGAATGTCATTTGATCGAAGTGAGTCAGTGCACTTTATGGTACCAACTACTTTTCACCCAAAGTTGTATCCAAGTAAAGCCCAACTGAATCCGCAAGTGCTTTGCAAATCTGATCTACACCTTCAATTTAATGGACCTGTCTGTCTCCAACCCGCTCCTTGAAATTGCCAGCTTTATACTCTTCCAGATTCTTCAACGTCCGTGGCAGACGCTCGCTGACAAGCTTGGCCACTGCTTCCCCTGACCGAGAAAATCAAGCGTGTCAGTAAATACTTTGGTGACCAGCTAATTGTCTCCTCTTTCGAATGGCTTGGGTCTCAGCCTTCCCCATACTGGAGTGCAAACACCAAACATGGGAAAGCAACACCTTGCATGAACAAAGTTGACAGCCAAAAAGCCACGCATGAGGTGACGGGAAGATCTGCAACAAAATCATGTACCGAACGAGAGGTTCTACACTCGCCACGCCTCCATGGCCATCAAAGACACCAAAAAGGCTCAAGCCTTTCTCCACGTCGAAGTCCGGAATTGCCACATGAGCATCTTCCATCTCCTCCCACGTTGCTCTGTGAAACGATCACACACGGCTGAGCAAAGCTCCTCGCTTTATTCCTGGGCTCATGGAATGTTCCCTTAAAGAAAATACATGAAAATACGCTTGGATTTGGCTCGAAGGCTGGTGACCTTGCCATTTCGAAGCTTCCCCAAAGAGCTGAAACTAGTACTACGGCACCCATGATTGGCCAAAAACATGGAGTCATAGCCACCTCAGAAATGCTTGATGGAGATGCTCCTCTCGCCAACCCTGCATGGACGCGACACCAAATCGTTCACCATGGCTGCAACTGCCATCGTGGCAGTCCTGCACAAAACTCCCAAGTTACACAAAACTTCTGAAGTAGTCAAGAGCTTCGTGTGCAGTTGGACATCTTCAACTTGTTCAGTCCTGGTGTTTGACTGGCAGTCGCCCCATGGCATCTACATGCTTGCAAAAAACCTTCTGGGTGAGATCCAAATGTAGCCAAGCTTATATCTACGACTGTCTCTGTCGGGTGAGTCACGATGCATCTGTCGAGGGCGTCCACAAGTTGCCTCTTCCACTTAAGCAGGCTCGCAGACTCAGTGTGTGTGTGTGTGTGTCTGTTTCTTGGGGCTGCGACAAGCAACTTGCAAAATCCGAGCGTTCGAGCTATGCCATGCGGCATCCATGAACATGTACTGACTGAAGCTCTCACGGACCGCGAAACAATGGCAGTTTCCATAGACAGCTACATTGATAGATTGGGGTGGAAAGAGACCGACATCGGGACCCAAAGTCAAACCTGGAAATTTGGGGAGCTCGACATAGCTGGACAATACTCTGGTGTTAGTGCTATACCAATGCTTGTTTCAATCAGAAGGTCCTGTGGTTTCCCAAAAGTCGGCGGGCAGTGCGCCATGGCAAATCATCTCCACCCACATGGAGCCTCAGAAAGCAAAACTATACTGTATTCCCAAATGTCTCTCGTTTCAGGCCCTACTATGTTGTCACTTAAAAGGTCCAAGGGAGCCCTGCCAGCCACACGAGTCGAGTCATTGACACCTCTGATTATAGCTACAGATTTTCACCAGCAACTTCCCCGCCCCAGGAAAGACTGAACTTTATTCCGCCTGACTCTTACGTCTATCAAGCTGCCGTGTGTACCACATTCTTAACCTCAAAAACGATTGTCGACTCCTGCGCTATACCATCTAAACCAACGGTGTGTCCACAGCCATCCTCATAATCTGCCGTCTCGCAAGAACACACGGGTTCACTTCCGGGCTCAACTAGATGTTTCTGTCAATACACCTTGCTCGTTACACACGTGCACTCTCCCAACAAAGGGCAGCAGAGAAACTATGCGCCTGCAGGATGGGTTATCTGAAAGACTAAGTGGGTTCATGTTCACGTTGGGATTGTGAGATGTCCATTTTCGGCTGTACATACATGGCTGCATGTGGATGGGTCTCCAGACAACGGCAATAAGCGAGAACGCTAGAAGGAGAGGTAGCGCGGTCCAAGGGGATGCCTTTGAAGTACTAACAGGATTTGGAATGCAGTATAGGCATGGGTTGAGTCGATGCTTGGAAGCTGCCCAGTAGCAGAGTGCGGTGTAGGAAGAATCAAAGCCCAAGGGTCGCACGGTGAAAGTCGTGGACATTTAAGGCTGATTTGGCCTCTGTGTGGCAACAGGGGATGCAGTCATACAAGAGGGGCAGGTTCCCCAGTGTTGAACAGAATGCTTCACAGTCGGAAAGTCAGCGAGTGGGTGATCCATGCTAACCTCTCCTCTGAATACATGTTTGCTCAAGCAAGGCGAACTCGGTAACTGAAGCTATCCTTCGTGACGAATGCTATGCATACCGTGTACGTATTGACTGGCCACCAGTACTACTTCCGGAGTTGCTTGGATTCTGGCCCGTCAGCATCCACTGCCAAGGCTACATCCAAGCGATCGTCCACTATAAGTGGGATGCCGTGCTGCCGTGTGAGAAATCGCATCTGCAGGGGCAGCAATCTGATGAAAGCTGAATTGGTGTCTGTGATACCTTGCCTTCTCTGCCCACTGCACGTATTGAGCTGTGGAGACCTAAATGGCAAAATGATCTCTTAAGCAAGGAACGTGGCGAGCTGTGACAAACTGTGCGCGTGAGTGAATTTTGAATTCAGGCGAGGTACATTCTTCAGCCGTAGCTGCAGGCAAGTGACACCTCCTGGCTGCAGGCTGCAGGCATTGTTGATTCAAACACCGAGACCTTCAAGGATACCGCCTTCCATACCCATGGTCCAAAACCAGGCCTCGAATGGCACCTTCAACCTGCTCACATGCAGAGGCAAAGAACTATGTCAATGCAAAGTCAGTCATGTCCTTTCGATTCGAGTTCAAAGCTGGGCATATGACCAACACAAAGCAACAAGAGCCTTGTAGTAGAACTGGCCATCCAAGAATGCATCATCTGTGACAAGGTAGAGTTGGTATACTTTTGACCTTGTTCAATGACCGTGTGCACTTGGACTCGAAGCGGCACAAAATGACTGCGAAGCAAGCGAAGCAAAAGCAGCTTTGAGATTCCTGCAGGTCTCGCAGCCTTTGAGATGACACACATCTAGCAAGCCTAGCAGCACAACAGGATTGCAATTGCAATTTGAGCAATCTGCATACCCAATCCAATTCTCAAAGCAGCTCAAAAATGAGTCTTTCATCAGCATTAGAGGAGTTGGTATCCCCTTTGGTCTGACCAAGGTATTGTTGTCGTGAAAAACTTCCCGCGCCTGGCACTTCGCCAAAGTGGTGCCGCCATCGAGGTCACATGTCTTTTTCGACCAATTCAAGCACCGTGCAGCACAAAAGTGCAATGAGCTTTGCTGAAGTTTTCGCAACAACATATATGAAAGAAATGTCCTATTCAAGCTGGCATCTTGCTGTGAAATTTTGGCATCACACTACTGCTATCATGTGTCTGGCTGCGACAAATCGATTTCAGCCATTGGAAGGAAAAAGGCAGAAAATGTAAACGTAGCAGCATTGCAAGGAAACAAGGCAGAACTTTTTTGGTGTCATGTTTTCGGCTCCAACTTGGGCACCTCTTTGGCTTCTCGGCTGAGAGGTTCGACCTGCAGTATGTCTTTCACAGATCCTTTGCCACACAAAATGTTTGTATCACCAAACACCTGCTTTCGATATTCTGGTCCTGATGTCAGCCTTTGAGTCATTTAAGGCTTTCGATCTTCCGAGCGCTTCACCAATCGATCTGGCGCCTGCGACCTGAGGAAAGCAAGAAATTGCATTGGAACTGCGCCTCAAAACAACAAATATGTTCGAAGCACCGGAACAGTATTCACCCAACTGTGAAGCGCCAAACAAATCATTTTTCTCACTAAACAAGCTCCGCAGCTGCTCTGCGGCAGCTTGCGCCGTGCAACGTCGGGAGGGCTCAGCCTACAAGAAACCATACTGTAATCAAAAAGATCATGTCTCATCTATATATATATATATGTATACATATATACATATCTTTTATATACACATGTATATATATATATACATATGGGGATGGGCCAATACCTGCAGCCTCCCACCATGTAGCTTGACCTCCCAGGTAGGTCAACCAACCGGGGCGTCAAAGACATCTCATTTCTTCAACAGTTTCGCCTAGAGACATCTAAGAAAAATAACCTAGCATGGTCAGGATTTACACTCGATCTCGTTAAAGCATTCAATCTGCTCCCTCGTCGTGTCATCTACCACTTACTAATATACCACGGTGCCCCTCCAGAGGCAGTGGCTTTTTGGTTTATTAACCTAAGGCGTATGACTCGACGATTGCAAAATCGTTTAGCTGTTGGCGATCCTATCTACATGACTACAGGTGTGCCCGAGGGTGATAGCTTGTCTGTCTGTGGGATTCTGGTCCTTTCCTCAGCATTCTACTGGCTTTTGCACAGCCCCAATCTCGAGCCCTACTGCTATGCAGATAACTGGTCTTACCCTATCAGTTCCCAGCGGGAGAACTACCAAGCTTTCCTGAAAATTCGTCATTTTGCATCACAACTCCGGCTTCAAATAGATTAAAGCAAATCTTGGGCCTGGGGAACCACAAAAACTACACGCGATTCGTGGCGAACTATTCTTGAAGAGATCCCCAAATAGTGCGCATCCTTAATTCTGCAAAGGATCTTGGTTCCATGTGTCACTACACCAAGCAAATTACGTTAGGCCATCTTAAAGAGAAGTTTGCCAGTGCTACCGCCAGATGTAGACGTCTTACCCACATTTCGACCGACATTACACGAAATGCTCGTTTAGTCCAGACGTCCATATGGCGCCCATGTTAAAGATCTCAGAAGGATCCACAACTGTACGTGTTGACCACGGCTTTATCCTTTGTTCGTAGACTATTCGTGTATAACTCAGCCCTGGCTCAGAAATCTATTGATGCAGTGAGCAACCACCCAACAACATTGTCATTAATCTTACATCTGAGACCCCCAAAGAAATTCGTACATGGTTGAGCCGTGCATGGAGCCACCATGTCCACAAACAAATTGAACATCGTAAGGGAGTCACTGATGTGCCTTTTGATCAAGATTTGATGAGCTGTTTGCTTCGAAATTTTCCCCAACTGACCTCAAAATCGTTGCTCGAGATATCACAGGGGGATATCAAGTAGGAACCGTTAACGCACAATAGTCTAGCACCACTGATGGTAAGTGTCCTTTTTGCATCTTTTTGCAACGCATTGGATACACACGAACATCGGCAACTTGAATGTCCTAATTTCCAGCATTTTCGAGCCAATCTTCCGAGTGCAATTCAATACCTGCAAACAAATCCGTATATGCTACATTTCCCTTTGCCCATCCAGCATAAAGCAGTTTCCCAACTTCGGGAATTTATATCACAAAGAGGACAAGCAGTTACGGATGCACGTATTGATTCTTCCACCCAAACATTGTACTGCAGATAACCCGACTCTGTCAGAATTTCCCCGGGCAGCATGGTTGGTCATTCAATTTAATCCTGATAA